TCAATTGTTGGTGCATAAAGTTGCTATTGTAGCTAAAGCCTATGAAGACTTGCTTGAGACAAAAAATAGCTACGGAGCAAATTAACATGAAGAAACGTTTCAATAAGAAACGGAAGAGGCCTCAACAATATAAAGTTGCTGATTTAGTCCTTGTTGAGAAACAGTAGTTTCCAGAAGATGGGAAAAGTACAAAGATTATATATTAAGGCCCTATATGGTCATTAAAGCTGTTCTACCTAATAGCAGATATGTTGTAGGTTATACGGCTAGCACCTATCGTAACACGAGAGGGAAATATGAAAACGTTATTGCTGTTGCATGTGCTTCATTTTCTTCAGTTTGATACCACTCAACCAGAGCTGTTGTAAGTACCAAGAAAAAGTACTTAAGTATTAAGTACAAGTTTTTTTTTTAATACGAATCAAGTACCAGTACAAGTATAAGTACAAAAGGAAATACTTAAAATATCAAGTAAATTGACTTGAATTGTCCAAATTCAAGTACATACAAGTACCAAATTCCACGAAAGTCAGAGTCAAGTTTAAGTATTTACTTAAACTTGCGTACTTGAAACGACATTTACGTAGAGATACTTTAAAAAATAATTTAAGTATTTTTTATTTCAAGTATTGTTCGAATTAAATTAACAAATTAAATTATTGCTATCGATAATCTTGAAGGGGGTGTGACCTAAAAATAAAAGCTTTAGAGAAGAAAAATCCAAGAAAAAAATTTCAAACTGCACTAGGCTACGACCAACTGTTGCGAAGATACCGTGGTACAAAGTTTCCACTCCTAGCACCTTGACGTCATATGCACAAACTGAGTCCGACAGCCGGCGCAGCAGCGCGTTTTCTGATTCTTGCTGCATATATTAGCTCTGTTTCAACCAACATGAGAACCGTTCCAGAATTAGTAATTTCCAGTTACCCACCTAAGTTGAACGTTTATCCTACTTGACAAATGAATTGATCGACTGGAAATTACTGTTCTAGAACGTTCCTCATGTCGGTTGGAACAGAGCTATAAACGACATTATCGTATTGTTTTTGTAATTTCACTGGTACCTACTTAAGTTATTTAATATCACTTAAGTACAAATTTTCAAAATCTTTCAAGTAAAATATACTTGACTGATATTTTAAGTATTAAGTAAGTACAAGTAAAATTAGAAAAACTTGAAATTGCAAGTACAAGTACCAATGTTTGGATTAGTATTTAAGTCAAATACTTAAGTATATTTTTGTACTTAAGTATTTACTTATTTAAAATACTCAGTACAACAGCTCTGCACTCAACCTATATTTTTGGAGGAACAATTTTTTCATGAAGATGGAGGGACATAGGGGGGTGATAAGGGAGATAATAGAAAAACAAATACGAAACACTTTTTGAGATTCCTTGCTTTATTTCCTTCAGTTTGATACACCACAACTCATATTTTTGGAGCTCATTTTTTTTATGATGATGGCTGACTATGGGGAGTAATAGGGGACGCAATAGAACAACGCCGAAACACGTGTCCTATCATTTTATTAGTAAAGTCTACATATCAATTTTTAAACACCTGTGACTTTTTGTTGTTTTTGCTATACCGACTTTGACAAACATTTTAAATATTTTTGTGTTTAGTATAGTATAGTAAATTTCAGGGACCTTAATACAAAAAGCTTAGATGACAGATACCCATTACCCAACATAACGGATCTCTTGAACAAGCTGGGACACTGCCAGTATTTCACCACCTTAGATTTAGCTAGCGGCTTCCACCAGATCCAGGTGCTTGGAAACGACATCGAAAAAACTGCATTTAGCACAGAAAACGGGCATAATGAATTCTTTCGCATGCCCTTTGGTTTAAAGAACGCGCCGGCTACATTCCAAAGAGTTATAGATGATATGGAGACTTTTCATTCTATTGCATTGAAATTGGCCTGTTGTTGGCCTGTCAAACCTGTATATAGGTAATTCATTTTTTGGCCTTGCTTGCCATTAGCTTATTTATAAGTTTTTTTTTTTTCAATTTGTTTTGAATGAAAGCGATGCATCATAGCGAGGGAGTGTGTTGATTACAGTCCATTTGCTGAGCAGATCTGTATATCAAAATTGTCTACTACCGTATGAATCAGACAATCGGGCTTCAAGCTATTTGCAAACCGTAGTTCAAAGTTTACTGATTGCCATGTTACGGCAAACTGTAGTTGCTACTAAGGATTTGTGCCTCCATTACTTCGTCATACCTAGAACAAATTCCAAAGCCATAAAGAAAATCAATAAATTGTCTTGATGAATAGGCGTGATGAAGTGTTACCAAAGGACACTTGTAATTATATTTTCAATAAGTCGTTGCATGATGTACCAATACACTGGCCATTTTTACCTAGTTTATCATGGAAAATGTATATACAGACCGGACAAAATTACTAGACACATAGGAAGTAATAAGTCGAATTGGCTTGTAGCCGATTAAGGCGAATCGAATCGGCATTTGCCCCTTTACCCCAACGGCCTTCATATTTTATTAATAATTAAAAATGGAAAATAATCAAATACATACATTATTGTAGTGTTAGTTTATTTTCTAGTTTAGTTTCCTATTATTATTATTATCCTATAATTTTTCTCGTTCTCAAATCAAAGAATTTATTTATCAGGAATCGTAGACGAAACAAATTCCTTATCGCGTTACTAGGCGCCAATAGGACCAAGTCTCTGGGGGTAGAAGGGCGAGACGTACCGCTCGTGGCAACCACGAAATGAGGTCAGTGGGCCTTACTTTTTTTTACCTTAAAAAAAGATTTCAGTGAGACGTTTCACTGGTTTTCTTTTACGACGCCACCTAGATAGGTGATTTAATTACGACGACGCATATTGTAGTATTGGTCTATTGGATGTTAGTGTTTAAGTGTTTACGTCGATTAAGGCATTTGTTTATGCACTACGAGTTTTATTTAGAAGTATCGCTTTCTTTTTCTTTTGTTCCACCCTGTTTCTATTAACTTTTATTTGTATATAAATATACGTTCCTTTATTTGGTTTAAAACCGAGTTGGATTTTTTATTATTCAAAAGACCCTAGAGGACGACGAGGAATAAAACAAAATTAGTATTTTTTCCTACATTATAATATAAGTAACGTTCTACTATTAATTCTCATCAAAATTTGTTGAAATAGCCGCATTTTCCGCTAGCCCCCAAAAAAACCGTAAAAAGACCCAGTTCCATTTAAGTATATGTGTCTAGTAGCCTAGTCTTGTCTGTCTAATTAATTCTACTTATGGTAATTTTTGGAGCCTAAGCCCTCATAGTAATTTTGAAATTCCGGCGTCTATGTTGGGGGTGAAGTTTTCAAAAATCCTTTTTTAGCGAGAGCCTACGAACTCAATACGTCCTCCAAGTTCCATAACTGCAGGTAAAGTAGTTTGACCTGTGCGTTCATAGATGATGCCTAACTACCGTTCTTTTATTAGTATAGATGTCTACCAAGGTGAACAAGGTCTATGGAATAAACCACCCTCCTCTCCGACTTTGTGCAAATAATTCCTTAAGCTTCCCGCAAATTTTTCCAAAGTCCCGAAAAATTCCTCCAAACTGCTCGCAAATTCCCGACCAATCCCTCTAAATTCCCCACAGTTTTCGCAAAGAATTCCTAGGTGATTTGCCCCTTGGAAATTGATGAACAATTTGAAGAGCCACTAAGGCAAAGTCAAATTTTGTATTTTGCATTAGACCCAACCACATTTGGATAGCATACGATTTCTTAATTCAATATTGATTTATTCGTTCCATCAGTAGGCAAAGAGGATAAATTAAAATATCCATTTCAACTACGCCGGTAGCAAGCAAAGTATTAATTTCCAAGGCGTGTAAATGAATCTGAAGTTTTAGGTATCACATAAAACATTGACAAGATTATTAGATATTTGATACGAGTTGTGCGTAAATAATTTGCTATTGTGGATTTTGTAAAATACATAACCGGATTACCAACCTGATAATGCCTACACATACATATTAAATTGGCAATTTTCTGAACTGAAGTAGTTGTTGAAGAAATCAATAAATAAAAGTCACACATTCGCAGATACAAACGTTGATTGTCTGGATTTATGTATTGTCTATGTTACATAAATAATCTATTATTAGAACAATTAGAATCGAAAATTGATTCAATGAACTGTTTATAATCTGATGCTGACTGGACAGAACATTGTAGGTATCAAAGACTTATTGTATTTTCACATAAAACTGCTATAAGTAAGCAGATTTATGTTATAATAATCTCTCATACCTACATACCTTATATATTGAAATAGAATGGCGGTTTAAAGTATTAATTAAGATTGCTTAGAGATTTCACAAAATATCTTATCAAGATTGTGTTTTCCAAACAAAATCGATTCTAGTTATCGATTCTCAAAGCTGGGGCATTGCAATTGATTATCCATTATAATATATTAAACGTAACTCTACAAGTTGGGGGTGAAAAATATAAAAACAAAACCAAGTTTAGGGGATGAATGCATTTATGCATACAAGGGATGCGCGGCGTCGCGACGCCTCTTTCAAACGCCTGCGCCTCATTCAGTGTCTAAACAAATCAATCGGGAGGGATGAATTTTCCGTAATCGACCGGGGTTTAAGGGCACAAAGTGTTTGTGATTATTACCTTTACACTGTGCTACTTTGAGTAAAGCTTGTAAGTAGTTAAACCTATTAGAAGTTTTTAAATTATGTTGATGTTGATGTTTTTAATATCATGTTGTTGAGTAGGTAGTTTCCATAATTATTATTTATTATCGAGTATATAAACCTAAAGTGAGCTAATGAGTTTTCACTGCGTACAAAGGGAAAATATTACACCTAATTTTGTTTATTAAATAGCGCACTATAAAATTGATACAGACGCAATTATTGTGTTTCATATCAGGGAAATGTAACTTAATATTGGTAATTGGAGGTTTTTTAATTGAATAAACGGATATTGACACAACTATACAGATGATGATGATTTTAGACTCTTTATGGCGTATTGTCTTGGAGACTGCCTGGATATGTCTCCACCTCCAGACGGTATCCTTTTCATGCCGCCACCTCCGGCTCCACTTTTCATGTTTCCGGATTTGGCCGTTCACAATTCCACCAATTGCTTTGCAACAGAAACGTGCGATGCTGCCGCTGCTTTACTGAACAACCGAGGCAATTTCAAAAACATGGATCGGATCGAGTATATTGAGATGCCAAGAAAAGGTACTAGGGATTTGAAATTTTCAGTATTCTTCATTGGTTGTTTTGCAGAAATGGACGCCAAGTGGAATGTGTCTGGAATAGGTGATACTTGGCTGTTGGTCTTAGTAGGATCTTCTATAGGCGTTCTTCTTTTAGGAGCCTTACTTGCCATGTTTTTGTTAAAGTGTCGAGAGTAAGTTTATCTCTATTATAAAAAATATATTATTGCAAATTTTCTATATTCGTTAGAATGAATTTGCTGGGTTCTTCAGAACACTGTTCCTTACACGGACGCGATCTTCGGCCATTGAAAAACTTAGAACCCAACACCGCTCTTACCAATGGAAAAATGATTCATCCAGTGAATACAAGCTTTTACACTCCAGCTCCCACCATGCAAGATAATCGAATGGTTTGGGCTGCTATTACTCCTAGAGGAACGGAACATTTTATTTCTGAGAATTATTCCAGGTAACTTTTACAATAATTTGTACCTATACAAAGAGGCTACTAGACACATACATTATTAGGCTTCAATAGGACCAGTTGACTGATGACCATATTACACATGTAACGGCAGCTCAAGCTTTCGCTGATATTCTCTATGTGTCTAGTAGGCTTGGTGCGGTCTGTATATAGGAATGACATTTCCTATAATACACTGTAAAATATACCTTTCAAATATTTATTTTTGTCAGAAACTTGATGTGCTATGAACCTCCAGAAGACCATTACGAAACAATAGAAAATCTGGCACCTCACCCACAAATTCCCATGAACGCTAACCACGTTGCATATTATGGATACCACAAAGGTAACTATCTTTAATTGAAAATAAATTAGAATGTGAGTTCAAATTTCTAGAATACGAATACGAAGATCCTACTCCGCTAATTGAAAGCTACCAGCTGAATGATATTGAATTTGTTGGAGATCATCAGTATCAAATTATTGGAGGTACTTATTTGCACCAGGAAATTATTATATAATTCTAATCAATAAAATGTTTCAAAAGGTAACACCGATATGAGATGTTCCAATCTTGGATACGATCCACTCAAAAGACAATTTCCGATAATGAAACCTAGAGTATCGTCTCCGACAAGAATTGAACATCCGAACTTGCCTCCATTGAACATGTTCCCACGCAGTGCCAACAATACTTTGAAGAAAAACGCACAATGTTATAGAACAATGGATCCAGGAAAGCTTCCTAAATATGGCCTCTAAGTTTGTTATTTATTTTGTTCCTTATTATTTGTTGATTTTGATATGTTATTGATTGATATACTCCATACTTAATGTGTTTAGATATAAGTGCAATCGCTGCACAAGCTCATACCAAAATATTAATCCGTATTTTTTACTCTTCGTGTGCACCCTTGTATTCGATTAGAATGAAATAGTCAAGTGTCCGTGTCTTTAATGTTCAATTGCACCTAACAGTTTCTACATAAGCTCAACCAAATTATTTAGGATGTAGGTAGAGGGTTCCAGTGCAACTGATCATAATAATTATTTATATACTTACTTAATCGATCCAATATATTTATGTAAAATTTTTGACTGGTAATTTTTTTTGAACAAAATATGGATCTGCGGAGGTGGTGGATGTGTTATTGATCGGTTTGAAAGCCGCACTGGTAGTCTCCTCTTATCTCCTCTGTAAATGGGATTATTATGGACAGGATTATATTTGATAGAAGTTTGTATGCTACGTTTATGAGCGATATTCTTCTAAAATTTTTGCATATCATTCTGTCTTTTTTTTTTGTGTAGGGGTATTATTATTCTCTGGGATCTTTTCAGATAGTTTTTATAAGTTCGTAGTTGGAATGTGGCTGTGTTTCCGGCATAATTGAAGAGTACAGCGGTTATCGCAGAATTTTTTTTTTTTACTTTTCAATAGCGTTCTCAATTTCCATTCATGAGGGGTAGTCTTTTCACATTTCGGCAGTTTAGAAGATGACCGGTTCTTCGTTGTTTGTATACAGGGTCGCCGCTACCATATGCGGTGTGTTTGTGGTAGAAGTGGAAATTCTTAAAAACTATCCTCCCTCATAAAACTTTAAGACAGCGTCTGAGTCAGGGTAAAGACGAAGGACAACACGAAAGGAAGTCGCGCATCTGTAGTGACGTCACAAGGGTATTGGCTCGTGACAATAATAGGCAATCATCCTTGCTTATAATTCTTGGTTTGTCTTAATCGTTCGTCGGTTGTTATTATCATTAGCTGTCTTTCTCCGTCTCTCTACGTTGTATCGTTCTTCTCTTTCGTGTAACGAAATTCACCAAAACATAATCACTCTTCATTCTCGTCCAATTATCAGACCATCGCCTAAGAAGTTTTCGCTTCAAAATAAATCATACCCATCGAGTTTTATCGAAAATAAATCTCTAGAACGAATAAACCCATCAAACCCATATCTTTGTTAAATTTCAAAGAAATTGGGATAAATTATATATCATTGAAAAGAGCATCAAGTTGTCTATAAATCTGTGCAAAATTGAGTTTGATAGCTCAAATAGTTTTTGAGCCTCAAGGTTAATTTTTAGTCCAAATTTTGTCAAAAACTTCAAACTCAATTTGCTCAAAAACTATAAATCTGGGAATATTGTAAATTACAGATCTTTTATTAGAGCTTGATAAGAGCTACAAATGCTAAACATTTCAATGCAATTTGCCCAATGGTTACTGAGCAATTGAGATTTGAATATTTTGAAATTAGAATTCAAAGGCGGTAGCAAAGAATTATGAAAAATTGTATTTTTTATTTTTTAGTTTTGCTCAATTTTGACTTTAATAATCGATAGAGCGGGTTGAAATTAATGGAAAACAACAATGACATCAAGTCCAAATCGCCATTTCAAGCAGACACAATAATAAAAAGAAAATCCTATTTTTGGCTCTGAATAATTTTCAAAATTTTGACATGGTCATGAGCAATTGCCATATCTTGGTTAAATTATATACCATTGGAAAGAGCATTAAATTCTCTATAAATCTGTGTAAAATTGAGTTTGATATCTCGAAGAGTTTTTGAGCAATTGAGCCTCAAAGTTGACTTTTAGTCCAAATTTTGTCAAAAACTTCAAACTCAATTTGCTCAAAAACTATAAATCTGAAAGTATTGTGAATTACAAGCTATTTAGAGCTTAATAAAAGCTACAAATGTTAGAAATGTCAATGCAATTTGCTCAACATTTACCGAGCAATTAAAGTCTGAATATTTTGAAATTAGAATTCAAAGGGGTACCCTCATGAAAAACTCGTTTTTTTTTATTTTCTAGTTTTACTCAATTTTGAGTTTATTTATCGATATAGCGGGTCAAAATTAGTTTAAAACAGTCCTGACTCTAGTTTCAAATGGTCATTTTAAACGGAAACAATTTATAAAGAAAATTCTATTTTTGGCTCTGGAAAATTTTCAAAATCTTGACATGGTCATGAGCCATTGCCATATCTTTGTCAATTTTTGGGAAACCTGAAATAAAATATACACCATTGGAAAGAGCATTAAATTCTCTATAAATTTGTGCGAAATTGAGTTTGATATCTCAAATAGTTTTTGAGCAATTAAACCTCAAAGTTGATTTTTAGTCCAAATTTTGTCAAAAACTTCAAACTCAATTTGCTCAAAAACTATAAATTTGAAAGTATTGTAAATTACAAGCTATTTAGAGCTTAATAAAAGCTACAAATGCTAGAAAAATCAATGCAATTTGCTCAATGGTTACTGAGGAATTGAGGTTTGAACATTTACCGAGCAATTAAAGTCTAAATATTTTGAAATTAGAATTCAAAGGGGTACCCTCATGAAAAACTCGTTTTTTTTATTTTCTAGTTTTGCTCAATTTTGAGTTTATTTATCGATAGAGCGGGTCAAAATTAGTTTAAAACAATCCTGACTCCAATTCCAAATGGCCATTTTGAGCGGAAACAAAAATTTTAAAAAAATCCTATTTTTGGCAATTGAAAATTTTCAAAATCTTGACATGGTCATGAGCAATTGCCATATCTTTGTTAAATTTTAAGCAAATCATAATAAATTATATACCATTGGAAAAAGCAATAAATTCTCTATAAATCTGTGCAAAATTGAGTTTGATATCTCAAATAGTTTCTGAGCAACTAAGCTTCAAAGTTGACTTTTAGTTCAAGTTTTATCAAAAATTTCAAACTCCATTAGTTCAAAAAATATAAATCTGTGAATATTGTAAATTACAGGCGATTTAGAACTTATTAAGAGTTACAAATGCTGGAAATTTCAATGCAATTTGTCAAGCGGTTATCGAGCACTCAAGGTTTGAAGATTTTGAAATTAAAATTCAAAGGGGGTACCCTTATGAAAACTCGATTTTTTGAAGTGAAACTTCTTAGGCGGCGGTCTGATATTTGGACGAGAATGGAGAGTGATCTGAAAGACGCGTCACGTTTTGGCAAATTTCGTTACACGAGAGAGAAGTAAGTTATAACGTACAGAGACGGAGAAAGACAGCCAATGACAGCTGACGAACGATTGACACAAATCAAGGATATATTTATAAGCAAAGAGAATTCCCTATTATTGTCAAGTGCCAATACCCTTGTGACGTCCCTACAGATGCGCTTCTCCCTTTTGTGTGGTCCTTCATCCTCATCTTTACCACGGTCCACGACTCATACGTTGGAACACAGGCGGCTCACCCTAGCGGCGGCCCTGTTTGTATAACCCTGGTTAAGTAGTTGTTTCTGGTTATTGGTTCTGGGTCTAAAGCCATACTTTCTTGTTCTTATTGTCCTATAGAATTTCCTGGTAGGTATTGTTCCGTCCATCGACTTCCAGCTCCTGCAAATTCTGATCTTGTTTTTTCCTTCTTAGTAGTTCATTAGCCTCTCTTCTTAGTTGTCTGAATTTACTGTTATTGTCTTCTGTAGGATCCTGCATCATTACTAGTTTGGCATTATTTTTCTCCTTAAGTACCCTCTCACATTCCGGATCGTACAAGTGGTTTCTGTTTCGATATGTTGACCCAAATTCCTCTCCCGCTATTTCTAAGAAATATTTTCGTATCTAGCATAATAGGGCATCTCTTCGGTTAATTAAACTCAATCGTCTTCCAAAATAGGTTCATGGGTTTCAGGAAAATCATGTACCATGGTACGTGATTGCTAATTACAATAACTACCCGGGGTTGGATGGGACGACCGGGCAAATGCCCGGTGGGCTGGCTTAACTCAGGGCCGGTCGGGCCGCAGGCCCGACGCGTCTCAAATTATTAATAATATTTTAAAATGTATATATTTGTCAAAAACATCATAAAAACTATCTAAAACAATAATTAAACTGAATATTATGCGTGAGGTCCGAAACCACTGGTGATGGTTTAGTTGACAATACAGTGCTGCCAATCTGAATTTGTAAAATTACACGATATGCTGGTCAAATTACACATTTTTACACGCTTTTGTCTCACAATTACACGAATTATACACACGACCTTGATATTTATGATTTTGGGAAATGGGTCAAATTCAGTCAAATCTGAGGGTTAATCATCGCTCTTCAATCAAAAACAAAGATGTGGAAACGACAGAAAAGCGATCCGAATAAAGTTATCTAATTACTCTGGTTCCTGGAAAAGTGGTTACTTTTGGACCTCAGTTTACCTGCAAGGATAATACACACTACTACCACAGCATATACAAAAATAATCAGCAGGCTAACTTGAGTGACAGCCCGTGTAATAAAGGAATTCGTGGTCGGGATGTCACTAGCGGCCATTTTGGGATACGAGACAGGGCCTCATTAACAATAATTTAGGTTTTTTCTTTCGTGTCACATAACTAAAATTCCGCTCTACACCGCACGCTTATGACCTCTGTCAGAAATAAACAAATAAAATGAAATTTCGGCGTCCCTGCCATTCAATTACAGGATGGTATCCCCTAATGGCGGCGTGCGCAGAAAAGATGCGCGTGAGAGTTAGCCTGCTGATTGTTTTTCTACTACTATAGGATAGAGCCTATCCTCATTAAACCATACTTCAAATCTCAAGCCCCCCACTATGCCAAAGCATCAGTGAAGACGTAGGCATCGTGTCGTTTCTCGTCTTGACGTTATCTGGTAATGTGTAATTTGATGACGAATCTGGGGTGCCATATGGAGATTGGAATTATTGTTGAGGCACTCCAAATGACGTAATAGAGTTATCCAGGCAACCTATTTCCAAAACAGCCGATGAGCATCAGTAGTGTGTATTATCCTTGAGTTTCCTGAAATCTTGGGTTTGAGCTTAGCGCAAGATTCCTAAAGCTAATAGGCTGCCTGGTAATGGGTACCTTGATGACGCATCTGGGGTGCCTTATGGAGATTTGCATTATGATGAGATATTGATTGATGATTACCTATCAAAAATGAAAATTCTAAAATTTTTAAAACTCATTTTTCATTCTTGCTGTCCAAGGGAGGGCTGGCTGAAAAAAATTGCCAGGGCCGGTTTGTCTGAGCCCATCCAACCCTGTAACTACCTCCTGTGACCTGTGGTTGACATTGACCTTCCATTGGCTTAGGATCGTCGTAAAAATTCAATAATTCGTTCAACTTGCAACCGAATGTTATTTAAACGTATCGTGATGATTTTCATGAAACCCATGAACCTATTTTGGAAGACGATTGAGTTTAATTAATCGAACTGGGATGCCCTATTATCCTAGATACGACAATATTTAACATTAAAAAAGAAACAAATTTCATGCTCATTAAAATATATTAATGGAAGAACATAACAATAATATGGAAAATTATGCAATAAACCATTACAATGTATTTAAAATAATACTGGATAAATATGAGCAACAAACTATTGCCTACTTTCGTAATCCAACAAGGGTTGTAGTGAATTCAACCAATTCTTCCACATGTTCATTTGTCAGCAAAAACTCCAAAGTAGAATTGGTATACTCCAGAGCTGCTTCATCAAATTCCCCATAAATTTCCTTCACTATAGGAATCGATCTGAGCATTTTGGTGGTAGGAAGATTCATTACAGATAGGTCAATGTTGTCAGGAACTATTAAATCGACTAAAATTGAATCAAATAGAGTAAAATATGAAATTTTTGTATGAAAATTACCCGCCAAATTTCTGTTAGTCCCTTTCAAAGCGGAATCGGGTATTTCGATGTTCGGAAAAAGTCGGCTCACATATAAAGGACCCTTTGTCGTATTCAATGACACAATCGTATCAACAAATAACCTCGCCACAATGTTTTTCATTGGAGAGAATGGATTCAATAAATTCATTATTTCCATAACTGTCGTCTTTGCTGTAGCGGAGGCTTTTTTTATTATGTCGACAAGTCTTGAAATACTGAGTCCTTTAATTTTGAAGTTACCCTTTCCTTTCAAGGATTCCAAAAAATTGGTAAAGACTGGGAATCCACCCTGTAGGTTGAATCTGTCAACAAAAAAAAATTCAATCAAGCAAAACTCTTTGATCCAGAAGCCAAAACTTACAGTGATCTTTTTCGTCTGGAAACCTCTAGTAATTTATCAGCAGCTTCATCAATGTCCCGATTAGTGGGCCGCCCTCCACTGATGCAATCTAATATATCATTAACGAATTTTTTCAATGTCCCAATCCAACCAAATGGGAATTGATAAATTTTCGAAAAGATTCCAAATAGGCCATTTACTCCAGCCGACACCATTCCACCTTGAAAAAAAAAAAAATAATCAAACTCCAATGAATTTGTAAGAAATAACTCACCCAAGCCATTAATCAATTTGCAAAAAATTTCTGGTAAGTTAAACAAGTCTGGCCAAATTTTTATTAAATTGATTTTTGAACTTTGAATTTCTTTTAGAATTTCATATAGGGCCAGTGCACCATTAGCAGCGCCCATTACGGCATTTAATTTAAATCTAGCAAAAATATTTATCAATATAATGAGTTGATTCACATTAATACTTACTTGGCACCAGATTTTATAAGCTTTGCAATTCCTACCGATGCCTCAAAAAGTTTAATCAGCCATTTAAAAATAATAATAAAGGACCGAAGTCCAGATTTAAATGTATACCAGGCTTGTATTTGTGGTGCAAACATTATACTTAGGTACGTCTGTAGTACATACATGATAGGAATTAAAATAATTTTTACGGCACAAATTGCTTTGTTTGGACAATGGTCTGTAATATCTATAATGTTTATTAATTTATTGAACAAATCATTCATCATAACATTGTTACCTTTTATTTGGAAAAACAAGTCGACAACCGCGGGACAAAGTTTTTGAAGAATATTAATGAGTATAGCTCTTATTTCTTTTTTAGTTTTTGTGGGTGCCAGTACCATTGGATACTTAGGAGTACCCTTCGCCTCACTCACGATATCGTATTTTTTCAAGTTAGATTCAAACTCTTCGGCTGTTTTTGCGGAACTAAAACAAGTATGTAATGATACACATTTAAACTCGTGGTTACCTACTTACCTTTTCCCAAAAAAACCTGTTTCAAAACCATAGTCAATAATTGCTTTATCGCCTTTGAACTCTTCTAGAGCAACTAGTCCTGTTCTACTATCTATAACTAATCCAGTGTTGGTGATTGAGTTATACAAAGCTAGTCTACCAGAATGTTCCTGAAAAAAAATTAGTTATGACAAGAAGAAAGCATCGAATTTAACTTACATCAGCATTCCACCACCAGTTAATATTTATCTGTTCATCAACGCCGACATTGTCTTCCCATTCGTCTACATCATATTCGAATTTGGAAGTTCCCGGCCAATCGAAGATTTCCCAAAACTGACTTTGTCCAAAGGATACTGAAAAACGAAATAGTAAGAAATATTATCTATGTATTCGAAAAAACAAAGGGGTATATATTTACCTAAAAAAAGTACACCCAAAAATATTGTTCCAAGGAAACTAGCCATGATTCAAGACTCGCAGGTAAACTGGCTTCAATTGAAAAAATGTTTGATACTTGTATTGATAATGCTGCTTCAAATAAAGTTCCTATTGTTTTTTTTTTTAATCGGAATCATGTTCATTATCCAGCCGAGATTTGATAAGTTTTTTAATTAGTTTTTTCTATTAGGGTGTAGATAACTCACCAAGACAATAGAAAAACGTAGGTGTTGAACTATTTGAAAAATGCATAGAAAAGATAAACATCTTGCGTGCCTACGGAGAAAGGTTAGAAAGAGGAAGATTTGGAAGATCAGGGAATATTTTCCATCTCAATTTTAAATTTTTGTTTGTTCCCGGATCTTCTGTTTGTCGAAATAATCAAATGTAAAGAAAATTCAAGAGGTGATTAATACTTTATGTATCACCATTTGTCTTTTTTTTCAAGATTGGTAGAGTTTCAGGATACTTATGGCCCTTATAAGTTGAAAATGTACAAGAATTTGCTTGGAACTTTGAAAGGTAAATTTCAACTTTGAAGCTTTATTACTTCGGAATGGTGAAAGTTATTGATATTGAATTGAACAATTTTGTAGCCAATTTTATTCTCTTTCAAATGAAACATGACTCATTAAAATCGGTCCAGACGTTCTAGAGTTATGGCCTATTTAATGGGGCCATGTCAAGTTGGGAAATTCGAAATAAAATTTTGGAATTTTCTTCTTGAATTTATTCCGAAGTTAGGAAGCCTCAAACGAGAAAATGCCAAGAGGCATTTTCTGTTTAATTTGACCCCCTCTACTAAAAAAAAAAAATAGTTTTGGGTCTTTTTTGAAAATTTCAGCTCATTTGCACTTATAGTTCCTGACATAAAATCGTGTTAAGCAATTTGGGTTGATTTATCAATTTTTCAATTTTTCTGAGTGCCTTTTTTCATAGATTTCGGCTTCAAATCTGAGAATAATTTAGTGTATGGAGTTTGGGGTATTTTTATTGACCATTAGGATACAAAATCTCGACAAAAAAAAAATTGAAATTTCATCGTTTTAGTAAGAAGGTACCTTATGATTTAGATTTTGGAAAAATTTGAAAGGTCATAATTTTTTTTCTATTATAGATAGAAAGCTGAAACTTTCACTGAATTTTATCCCAATCAAGGGACTACAATCCCTGAAAATTTCAGCTCAGTTGCACCTATAGTTCCTGAGATAAAATCGTGTTAAGCAATTTGGGGTGATTTATCAAATTTTCAATTTTTCTGAGTACCTTTTTCCATAGATTTCGGCTTCAAATCTGATAATAGTTTAGTGTATGGAGTTTGGGGTATATTTATTGACCATTAGGACACAAAATCTCGACAAAAGAAAAAATTGAAATTTCATCGTTTTAGTAAGAAGGTACCTACCTACCTTATGATTTAGATTTTGGAAAACTTTGAAAGGTCATAACTTTTTTTCTATTATAGATAGAATGCTGAAACTTTCACTGAATTTTATCCCAATCAAGAGACTTCGATCCCTGAAAATTTCAGCTCATTTGAACCTATAGTTCCTGAGATAAAATCGTGTTAAGCAATTTGGGGTGATTTATCAATTTTTCAATTATTCTGAGTACCTTTTTTCATAGATTGCGGCTTCAAATCTGAGAATAATTCAGTGTATGGAGTTTGGAGGATCCCAAATGACCATTAGGATACAAAATCTTAACAAACAAAAAATTGGAATTTCATCGTTTTAGTAAGAAGGTAGCTAGCTAGAGTTTCAGCTGGGGGACTATGTAACGAATTTGCAAAGTGAGGACTCGGAACGCAGATTCTGAAGTTTGTAGAGTTTTCCTATAAAAACACCAAAACATTTTTCAAATTTCATAGAATTCAGAATCTCGATATTCCAAAAATCTTCACTCAGAAGAAAATAATTAAAAAGTTACCAAAGCATTTGTAGCAAAACGCCCCATTTCTACTATTCTTAATAATTTATGAGTTAACTCATTTCAATACTTCCGATTCATTCCTAATAAACTACCTTCCACCTATTCCTATAAATTGTTTTAAAAGTTCCAAGTCCCTTACTGACTGCTTATGAAAAACCCAAAATAATTACCTATTTGTTTATCAATATAGGTACCTGCTATTACTAACTTATTCTTATAACACCTTACAATAATTTCTACTTGAAAAATAAAAACCCTAATTCAAAATTCATTTCATAAATAATAACTTTCCAATATTTTAAGACAATTCTATTTTATGAACATCAAGATTCTTTTCGAAAATTCCTATTCCATTTAATAGTTTATTTAATCAGAACAAATTCTATTATAAGTTTCCTTTAACAACTTTCCATGATTTTAAGACAACAATTCTATTTCATGTACATCAGTTTTCCTTTCAAAATTTCCTATTCCATTTGATAGTTTATTTAATCAGAATAAATTTCTATTTTCGGATTCCTACGCCTAGCTAATAAACCCAACTGTTTAATTCATAATTCCAACTCAAAATTGTATATTGTTAAATGCATTATAAGTTCTCTTCATATTTTTGGTGCAAAATTAAATTAGAATGTCATTATATCTGAAGGCAATTAGAGTTATGCAATAATGTTCCATTTTCAAAACACTCGAGTTGTTGATATTTATGCAATAAAGTTCCACAGTTAATTATAAAGTCAAAAGTTTTTCTAGTAGAGAATCACTCAAGTTTTAACGCATTAAAAGTCATTGTTAATTCACTTCTTATCATTCAGAATCATTGATAAAAGTCACAAAGTTTTTCTAGTCAAAATCACTCAAGTTTTAGGCAATAAAATTCAAAGTTTAATCACACAAAGTCATGTTCATCATTTATATTCAAAATAAATCTTGTCACTATAGAGTACATACATTTTGTCCATAAAACACAAAACTAATCTAAATTAATTCTTTTGATTACTTAGAGCCCGCACATAAATGTTGTCGAATTTAATTGTTCTTTCTTTCAAAATTTTTCCGCTATTTTTTCAAAGACTGTTACCGAGGCAATACAAGAAACTTTCCGGACTGACACTTTAGGTACTGTAGATTTTAACTCAAACTGGACAGGACTGCGAACTCATCTCTCAACTGACAACTTAACTAGCAACTTTTTTCCACTTCTAAAACCGCGGTATTTATATTAAATCGATCCCCACGCAAAGTATTATTAATTATCCCCCAAATCGTCAAAAGGCGGTCGTTTGCCTAGCAATCAGACAATCCCATTGGCGGACCTAAATATTATTAAAAATAATGATGCAATTTCCTTGAAATTTTTATCATTTTAAGTTTAAAAAATCGAATAATTATGTCGCAATATACTGATTTATCGGGGTCGAATATTTTAGGTTCAAGAATGCCATAAATCATCAATTTAATTACTTGGCCTCGCTCTTTTAAGTTCATTGATTTAGGAGATGACACGGCTTGATGACGAAACACCTAATATAATATTAAACGTTGATTTGTTCCCTTTTCAATTTATTGATACTGATTTGGAGATACCGGAAATTCTGTTTTTGATTATTTGACATTTATTAAATTTTTACAGTAAAGACATTGTGACTTATGGGTCTATTTTCTCGGAATATTACACATTGACCAAAATCTGAGTCCAGCTGCTGGGGGACTATGAAATAAATAGAGATATTTTCTCTATCTCTATTGACGTCTCTTCTCTATTGATTTCGAAAAGGGAGAAGATACTAAGTGCCATAGAGATAGAAATACCTATCTCTATTCATTACATAATCCCTCAGCTAATAGCCTTTATAGAGAAGAATCAAGATATTTGCAAAGTAAAGACTCAGTCTTCAAAATCTTATATTCCAAGACCTTTTTCATGAAAACACTAAGAAATTGTTGAAGTGTTCTCTTAGAAAAACTAAAAAATTTTCATGACTCAAAATTTATTATCTTGAGAATTTTCATAGTGAGAAAGGGGGAATTTGCAAAAACGCAGAATCTGAAGTTAGTAGAGTTTTCCCATAGAAACACCAAAACATGTTCAAGTTTCATAGAATTCAGAATCTCGAGATTCCAAAAATCTTTATTCAGAAGAATCAAAAAGTTTCCAAAGCATTGACCAAAATCTGAGTTCAGCTGCTGGGGGACTATGTAATGAATAAAAATATTTTCTCTACCTATCTCTATTGACGTCCCTTCTTTATTGATTTCGAAAAGAGAGAAGAAGATACCAAATGCCATAGAGATAGAAATAACGATCTCTATTCGTTACATAGTCCCCCAACTAATAGCCTTTATAGGGAAAAATCAAGATATTTGCAAAGTAAAGACTCAGTCTGTAAAATCTTATATTCCAAGAGTTTTTTCATGAAAACACTAAGAAATTCTTGAAGTCTTCCCTTGGAAAAACTAGAAACTTTTCATGACTCAAAATTTATTATCTTGAGAATTTTCATAGTGCAGAAGGGGGGATTTGAAAAATTAGGATTCAGAACGCAGAATCTGAAGTTTGTAGAGTTTTCCCATAGAAACACCAAAACATTTTCAAGTTTGATAGATTTCAGGATTTCGAGATTCCATAAATCTTTACTCAGAAGAATCAAAAATTTTCCAAAGCATTGACCAAAATCAGAGTCTAGTTGCTGGGGGACTATGTAATGAATAAAAATATTGTCTCTATCTCTATTTGACGTCCCTTCTCTATTGATTTAGAAAAGAGAGAAGAAGATACCAAGTGCCATAGAGATAGAAATAACGATCTTTATTCGTTACAGAGTCCCCCAGCAGCAGGGAACTTTTGGCCCCTATAAATTGCACTTTTAATAGAATATAGAATTTGGTCCAAATTGAGACTACCACATCCATCACTTGACAGGTGATTAGTACTTAATGTAAGTATTAACATTGTGTCTTTTTTTCCCCTACTGCGGTAGGATGCAGGTTCTAGAGACCGTAGCCTTAACCTTAACTAAATATGGTTCAAAATTATATTACTAAAATTATTTTTAAGCAAAACAGACATTTCCCAACGAACCTCCTTTACTCTGACGAAATTCTTGACGTGCGTTCTCTATATTGTATATACAACGTGTTCTTATACTCACAAAATTAAGTGCAAATCATATGTAAATCACATTTATAGAACTAGAATTAACTTAGATAGGCACCTGTTAATGCCTGTGAACAACACATCTAAAAAGATGAGATCATATACTTATCTAGCTCCCAAAATGTTCAACATGTTGCCTCTACAAGTTAGGACTCTGTCAAGACATATATTCAATCTTGAGTGTAGAAAATTCATTTTTGATAATCTGCACAGTTTCAGGGCCCTATTTTCGATATGAATATTTGGCTTGTTTCCTTTTCTTTACCTTATGCTTCAGCCGTAGTGCGTGGTCACTTCCTTTTAATTTGTTTTTTTAATTGTGAACTTTTTTGGTTGGATTTTGGGGTATTGTATTGATTGATTTTTTTTGTTCATGTGCTGGAGTTGTTTATTGACTTAGTGAAGCGAATTCTCAACTTTTCCAACTAAATTTTTGTCCATTCCTGGCTCTTGAATTTGTTGAAATAAAAAAACCCAAAAGTCTGGGCACAGCTTGCTTGGGATTGAAAAAAAAAGGAAAGTCCAGTTCGCTACTAATTTTTCCACATTGCGTTTCTCAATTTTTGTTAATTCCCGGCTCTGAAATTGTCGAGATAAGGAAAATTCAAAAGCCTGGAATAAAAAAAACATGAATCTACCAATTTTTTCTCATTCATTCTTGCATTTATCCTCTATTGCTCAATTTTTCCGTCTGAATTTGTATCTATTTCCGGCTTTGAAATCTTCGTTTTCTTCTACATAGAGAAAATTCAAGAGCTTGGAATGGAAAAAAATTACTTTGTATGTCTACCAATTTTTTCTCAATTCTTCTTGAAATTATCGAAGTAAAGGAAATTCAAGAGCCTGGAATAGATAAAAATATGAATGTCCTCTCATCAAACAGTTTTTCTTATATTCAATAAAATACTTTGTGTCTACCAATTTCTCTTGAATTTCTTCTCTCTATTTATCAATTTTTCCTGCTCAATCTTTGTCAATTTCTATGAATTTTTCGAAATAAAAAAAATTTAAGAGCCTGTAATAGACAAAAATATGAATGTAATTCTATGCTTACGGGTACAAAAATTTAAAAAAAAAAAAAAAAGAAGCTTTGGAAGCTCAGAAAATCGTTGTTTCTTACCAGGTGAAAAGATAATTATGCTACTGATAAATGTTCTTTGAACTTTCTTCGATTTCCTCAATAATTCCCCAGAACGATTTCCACAAACTTCTTCATACTTCTTTAAGTTCTCACAATTTTTTTTTCTACTTCCTCTAAACTTGTCTCATTTTCAATCAGTTTTTGAAAAGTCCAAGTTTTTCTTTGGAGAGTGTGGTGAGATTGGGTTGATTAAGGATTAATGTGCTTAGTTTTACAGGGAAATAAATGTAGATTTAGCTACAGTTACTCTGTGCCAAAAGTGAATAAACCATAGTCTACACTCTACGGCAATAATTCTATGGATACGAAAAACGAAACGACACTGTAGATTTGCTCAGGAGCTCGTTGTTTCTACTATGGATGAAAATCCAAAGATACAGATTTCTTGTCCTGTAGATCTACCAGGCAAATGTTAATTCATCTACTACAGTCACTATATGCCAAAAGTGTTCTATCGAGGCCGTCCAGAACCTTCAAACTCCATGTTCCTTTGTTCATCGATATTTTGGTGACCTCAAATTTCCTAGAATTTATTCTAACCAAAGATAATGTGATTTTCTCAGATGCTCTAACTTCCTGCTGTTTTAAATTAAAACTAGAAAATCCACAGGTTGCTAATAGAATGGTAATCGATGAAAGATTTTAAATTGAAATTGAAAGATATCGAAACTGAAAAGGATATTTTTTTACCTTACTTGGCTTTACTTCCAAACTCCACTCAGCTGGCCAGCTCTTTCAGGAAGTTCAAGTCCAATGCGAAGCAGTACAAACGAAACCGTCTTGATTGAAAACCGGTCGCGGCAAGCGAAAAACCGCAGGTCTATTTTCTCGAACCACACGAAACGGGCGGAGTGTTTTTGGCGACTAATTTACTTGCCGGTAGTGTAAGGACTTTGCAGCTATCCTTTTTCAGTGTTTAACGCGCGCATTCTTAAAAGCCAAATTTAGCAAAGCCGTATCAATTCTTAGGCATATATGGCATAAGTATAGCCCGCGCAATTCAATTAGAATAAAAGAAAACAAAAATAAAGAGAAAAAAAACGAATCAATTCCCATTCCCAAATAGGATTTGACATCCTAAATACCCAATTTAACCTACAACTATATACAGGGCGCGTAGACGAAACTGATCACCTGCCTTCTACAATATATTATGTTGACTCAAATTCTACCTAATTTTTTCAGATTCATGAGTATTTGTGGCTGTTGATTTTTTACCTCACACACCCCAGAGTAGAGTTAATAATCTTTGTTATTTTTGTAGATCTTGATAGTCAGATTAGATTTAATCAAAATTTCAATGTATAGTTAGTTGGCCTGAAAATAATGGTAAATTAACCAATTTATTAGCTTTAAATAAACCACTAAACGTTTCAGTAATAAAGTGTATTTATTGACATAACAGGAATGAAATAAAGACAGTTCAAAAAGCTCCAACCCAAAACATTGATTTAGATGGAGAACATTTCTGTTTGCTTTATGCTCCTTCAAAGAGTGAAAAGAATATACCTTTTAGAGTCTATTTGAAAGTACAGAGGCATTGCCATTTAGAAACTCTGTATAATTTTTGCCCCCTTGCGCAAGACTCGACAAACCTCATCTATTCTTGAGCGATTCTTGTGAAAAAAAATCTCGTTTAGATTTACGGAATTTATTCACTCACACTGTTTTATACAGCTTTAGTCGTTTTATTCTTATCAATCTAAAAGGCTATAACAATATAATTTTTCTACAAAGCTATAAGTACAATACAATGTTTTAATACAATACTGTTCATAACAGTTTTATAAAATAGTATAAAAATCGAACAAAAACTCGTTTTGCGCCTGCTGAATTGATTTGAAAATAATAATTTTTTACATCACTATATAGGCCACCCAAAACGAAGAAACTCTTAAAATTTCTCATGCAAGATTGTTATGGATGGCTTATCCTGCAGTATAAATTATTAGTCCGAGAGCTAGAGACAATTTTATTTCAGCTAAACATATACACCAATACGAAAAAATAAAATCGTCACTGCTCTCAGTCTATAAAGAAACAAATAAGTACAAGCAATAATACTAAAATTTTAAATGGCACAAGCAATTAAAATACATAATAGTTTGTTGTAAAAATAAGATAAAATTTATATTTTGGCATAATAATATTGGTGCACAATAAAATTGATTGAAAATAATTTTCAGATTTCACAAAGGGTTGTTGTTGCAAATCATTCAATACCAGCTTTCCCTTCCAATAGCAAAAATTCGAAAGCGAAAATTACGATAATAAAATATTTTTATTTGTAAAGGCAGTCTTAAAGTCAATACTATTTAAATTAAAGTGTATGTACATTTTTGCTTTCATTTAAGTAAAATTGGCAGCCAAAATATTATTTGTATCTTATAAAATAGTGGATAATTTGTCATGACTTACATCTGCACTTTGTTTCACTTATCTTAGCTTGCTAGTGATATAGGTACAAGCTATTTATAAAATACTAATTTTCCATGTACAAGAAATTAGGTTTTATAAATGAAATCTGAGACCAACAAAAATAGCTTCATAATCCCAAAAGTATTATGAAAAAATAATAGTCAGCATTGACATAATATAAGTACCTACATAAAAGTTTATGTAAATTTTATACTGAAAATTACATCTAACAATTTGAAATTTTGTGCTTCATTATTGGAGGATTTTTTTTTTAAGTGGAAAATGAGAGCTTTATTATCTTAAAACAAAAATTTATTACATTCACTTACATTTATTTAGGCATTACTTAAGTACAACATTATGAAAAATACATCATTTTGCACATTACAACTTATATTTCAGAAGTTTTTCTTTTTGATCGTTCAATTAAATTGACAATTAATTATTATATGTTCATCAGGTTTTGTCATACTGACCAAAAAAAAAATCAATCTTCTAAAAATCTAAAATAGTGACATATACTTGAATATAACACACGCTCTAAAATTCAAGAGCGTTTTACATTTTTTAAAAATTATATACCGCAAACATACATTTATTAAATATACAAATTATACAATGAAAATGTCTTACACAAATACCTATAAAGCAATTACTTCTAAAATAAATTTGATAGGCCCATTGATTAATTAAATTTATTATTATCACACCACCATGTTCGAACAGACCTATTATCACATTTTGCTCAGAATTTTTTATTTATTTGTGCAAGACATCCGGTTGGCTTCCTTACAATTTAATTATACGACTAGCACCCCCCAAATTTGTTTTCCTATAAAACAGACTCGATTTGTTTTATTTCTTTTTCGTTCGGACTGACTTGAGTTTCGATTATTTTCGGCAGAGGACGTTTGCCTCCCATCGTGATTGGTTCATCTTCTTCATCGTCTTCGTCTGTAATAAAAATAATAAATTAGAGAAAAAATTTCATGGCTTTTGAGGACAGGCAACATCTCTCAAATCAAGAGAATCAATCTAGAAAACCCATGGTTTATTTATTATATATACGGAAAGTTCTAAAATTCTGTCGATAAACACTCCAAAGGGGTTGTTTGCTTTTAAACGCTTGCCATTTGGTATCAAAACAGCAACAAGTATTTTTCAGCGGATAATGGAACTTCTTCAGGGCGTTGATGGGAGACTGTTGAGGAGCATCTGCGAAATTTGGAGGAAGTTTTTAGGAAGACTCCAAGAAAGAGAAATGCTTTTTCTTTCAGAAAGAAGTAGAATATCTAGGGTTCCATGTTAGCAGAGAGGGCACAAAGAAGTGCGAATCAAAAATCAAAAGCGTTGTGAAGGCCAAACAACAAGAAAATTTGACTGAAGTCAGAAGTTTTATAGAAATGGTCTGTTATTATTCCAGATTCCTGCCAAGGATTTCAACAATTTTAAGCCCTATACAGGACTTGCTGTGTTGTTTGTGAACTTCACGGAGCGCCAAGACGAATGGCCGGAAATTAAAGAAGAAACTCTCCTAGACGCCAACCTGGAAAGCATGAAAGCCTGCATCAAAAATGGTTGGAAAGGTAAAATCAGCGAAAATGTAAGGCCATACTACAACAGTCGTGATGAAATTTCGATGAAGGACGAAATTCTGCTACTCTCTTATTGAGTAATTGTGCCAGGAGCACTGAGAAAGAAAATTTTGTCGGAGATTCACACATCTCCCTGGGGAATGTCAAAGATCAAAGCCCTGACATATGTGTACTGGCCCAGCATTGATTCAGACATCGAAAATTTGGCGAGATCATGCGAAACATGCATTCTTAACAAAGATAATCCACCCAAATCTGGCTTGACACCATGGCCATTAGCATTAAAGCCATTCGAAAAAATTACCATGGATTTTCTATCGCTAAAAGGCAAGGATTTTCTAATTCTAATAGATGCAAACACATCAGCTTTTGAGACCGAGTTGAAACTGCGCAAGACTTTTGCCAGGTTTGGATTGCCGGAAACCGTGGCAAGTGACAATGGCAGTATGTTTGTTTCAGTCAGTCTAAAAAAATTCTTCGAAAAAAACGGAAACTACTACCCCTGGAAATTTAACTCTTATTTCCAGATTCCTGATGTCGTACAGGGCAACGCCACACTCTTCAACAAACAAAACACCATATTACTTGATGTTTGCCAGGGAAGCCAGAACGAGACTATTCCAAATTGAAGAACGACCTTACACAGACCGAGAAAGCCCCAGAAAGGCAGGATTAAAGCTCAGAATCGCCAAATTAGAAACCATGGTGGAAAGACAAGAAACTTCGAAAAGGGCGAAAATAGCTATTTTCCTAACGAGTGCCGGAAATTTCTTCCCGCAAGAGTTAGGAACTATATTTTTTCTACGAGCATACTGAAGCTGATGTTGCGAAGAGTTTAATTTAAATAAAATGCGATCATGCAGAAGGTAGAATTAAAAATGTATTAGAAGGTATTTATAAAAAGGTAAAGGTACAGGTATAGGTGTATCAACAATACAAACAATTCCATGTCACAATGATTATTTCAAACTCTTCCCGCACCGGTGCGGGAAGAAAGTCTTCCCGCACAGCAAATCGTGCGGGAAGAGCCATTTCCCGCACGCTCGTAGAAAAAGTACGTTTTTGTTGCAGATTATACAGACGGTCGAGGAAGGAACTAGAAATCCTAACAAAGCCCCAGACTCATAAAAATGTGAACAAAAGTAAAAGAGTCAGATTCAAAAACTCCCCCTATTTTATAAATTCTGCAACATCTCTACCTCCAGTTAGAAAAACCAGTGTAAGCGATGTGCAGAGTCAGAGCGATCATGAGCTCAGTAACAGCAGCTTTCATAGTACCGCCTCTGACTCTGACAGTGATTTTTTGGAAACTGCAACAATAACAAACTCTCAGCAGGCCTCTGTTCCGTTCGCTAAAACTCACGGGAGTGGTGATGTTCCAAGCATCTCTGGTCAAAGTAATGACAAAATGCCCAATTTAAGGCCAAAAAGGCAGCTGAGAACACCATCCCACCTGTCAGACTATACTCAATAAAAATGTTAGCTATGATTGTATATCATATACCTATTATACTAACGTATATGGCGCCTTTCCCATTTACCCAATGTGCTGTTTTAGAAGCAAACAAAGAGAGATAAAGATATATTATGATTTAGCATAATTAAGTCTATCTGAAGTAGAACAAGGTCACCAACTGCGCTTGCGTTAAACTCTAGATTCTTATTGGCCGGCGGTTGCCATTTTGCAACAAGCTTTTGGTGCCATGTTGTCATGTCAAGCTAAAAAGTACAATGAGTTAGGATCATTTTTTGAGGTTATAATTTGGTCGATTGTATTTTGATTCCAAAACACTAATAATAATGAATATATTGGTTCATTTGTCGAAATAGAGTTTGTGTTACACACCAAAATACAAAATTCGTCATATTTTTTGTGAATGTTTAAATAACTCGAAGATGAAAATAATTTTATTGGCAACCCTGCAATATCAGCTGTTTAAAATTAAATCTTATTAGAGGAATAACTCCAAATTGACGCATGCGCATTGGAAAAAATAAGTTCACTTTAGGCAAAGAAGGCTTCGTTCTTTCTCATAATGTTTGCTTCAAGAACTCAAACCAACCCGCGATATACGTAGTATAATAGATATATATGTTGTATATGTATATTGAAAATTTTATTTGACAAGAACACATTATTGCTCTATGTTGACTGTGATAATTTTGTATATATTAGGTTTACTTGACTAGCACACACACATCGTGTCTTCTACATGAATCTTATATTTTGTATGCCTCTGTTCAAAGTTAAAAATGCGTCTCAAGGTGAGGGCAGGCTCAACGCTCCAGAACGCTCAAGGGTGCATTACAAAATACAGAAGTCATATCAATGAGCACCAGGAGCTAAAAGGCTTGTTTTCACTGAGAGGCAGCCTTTTGACGAGTCAAAGTTTGCGTAAAGGCCCGCATTACATAACGTGGGCGCCAGCAATACTCCACTCCCAAAGAAGCACTAACCCTAAAACTAGACATTAACCCTCTTAGAGCAAAACTCTTTTTGTAGGGATTGTGCAAGAATTTAGGAGTGGAGGAGTGTGGCAACGCGGCAACATTGCCTTGGCAAGTGTCGCATATAAATAGCGGGAGTACACACGCCCGCGCTCTTTTACTTACTTGACCTCCATCTAATCTAGAGCGAGCCGGTAGTTCCCAACAAACACAGTACGTACTGAAGACGTACATTTTAGGTCCTTTCTACGTCGGTTCGTCGGGGATGTAAAAATACGTTTTGAGTACGTACGTAAAAGGCTGTATTGATATACAGACAAAAAAGTACGTACTAAGAACGTACGTGAAAATCTATATTGCATACGTCTTGTAAAAGACGTACATGTTCGTTTCAAAGACGAACAATACAGGACGAGCTGGATCATTCCCATCTATTCATGATTTTTTTATTAATTGCTGACTCTGTAACGTTTTTAATTTCTTGGCTAATAAGCTACCTTGTTTTGCTTTAGTAGATATGATTCCATATAGAACTACAATGAAATAAATGAATAAACAACTATCTTTTCTGTGCCCAGATTTTGTTACCTTGAGTACTGCCTTCTACTAGAAGTTTTTTTGGTTCAGGTTTGCAAGTTTGGTTAATTGATCTAGGAAGGTTTGATTCAGTACGGCAGGGCCCGCTGTTATTGATTAGAATCTTAGGAAAAGGAGTTAGTACCATCATCATCTCTGTTTGCAAATCCAATCAATAATCTGAGGTTATGATAATAATTGTTGTTTACTCTTTGAGATTTCATTTCCATCATGTCATTGAACAGCTGTTTTGTCTAGGCGTTTTCTTCAGACCTGTTCTACCTTTTGATATATATTCTATAGGCACTTTTCAACATTCACCAGTCATTTTTTACACAACCGATTCTCAGTTCGTACTTTTGGGGTGAAACTGAACACGTCCTTTTCTATAATTTTCTTCAATGTCAAAATTAGAAGTTTGACAGATGAAAGTCTTCTTCCGAAATCTAAATGAAGAATCTGCCCTTTTGATCTGCGACCTCACGCTGAGTAGTCGTCCGGTCTCGGGCCTCGGCCCTAATTATTTTTGGGGCGAGAAATTTTGTGCCAGGGAGCTCAAGTTTTAGACTAATTTCTTGCTGATAATTGTCTAGAGTCGTCCCTTGGTCATTTTTGGATTCTGTTTCGGTAAGTTTGAGATTTTCTTCAGGAAATATTAACCTACAACACGTGTTCCATTTTTTTAATAGGACTGTTCCGAGCAGCATTTGGAAGTTTAAGACTTCACCTTTGGTCTAGAGTATCCCTCAATTTGAGGTAAGATTATTTCTAATATTTGGGGCTCGATTTGTTTTTTTATACGAACATCGTTATAGGGTCCTAGTCTCAGGCTATAGTTGGACAATCCTACTCCTAGTCTCAGGCTATAGTTGGACAATCCTTCTCCTACTCTTAGGCTATAGTTGGACAATCCTAGTCTCAGGCACTTTGGAAACTTCTGGATTTTCACATACATTTCACTTGTATACATGTAAGTTGCACTTTTACTATTTAGGCAAATCATATATAAATCATCTGACGCCGAATTACGTCAGTACGTGCCCGTGCCCCTTAAATAAAATTCTAGAATTTTACCCTGAGGTTGCCCAAAGAATAACTTTCACCTTTCTGTGTTAAATTTGCCTGTTGGTAGAGTGTAACCCATACTGTTTTTTTTAAATCTTCCACAAGTGTTAATAAACAGTTAAAACTGTTTATTTTTAAATTCATATATTCATTATTTACATTTTTTTTATTTATTCAAATATTCACAGCCTAATCCTAAACACCTTTTTTTAATAACTTCGTGACTACTTATTGGCGCAATAGTTAAGTCCTAATTACTTGGTGGCTACA